ACCGAACCTGGGTCTCTCAGGACCGCAGGTCGAAGCTCTAACCGCTGAGCCAAACCGGCCAGGGCGCTTTGCCTAGTATTGATATCAAGGTAATTCTGATATTCTTTTTCTTTTTTTGCCTCCGGCTTTCTTTCTCTCTAAGATTCTGTTTGGGTAGTTTCTATTATTATATATTCAATTTAACTTACCTTTTCTTCTGTTATCTACTCTTAACCTCATCCAGATATTTTTCATGTCGATATTTATAGCTTTAGCTCTAGTACTTCTATTTTACTTTTTTTTGTTGTTAATCCCCACTGGAGGATAATATTTTTCCACTGATTTTCAGAGAGTGGAATGGAGGGAGGAAGCGAGAAAAAGAAACATTGATGTGAGAGAGACACATTGATTGGTTGCCTCCTGCACATGTTCTGACCAGGACCAGGGATGGAACCTGCAACCAGCTATCTGCCCCTGACCGGGAATTAAACCTGTGACCTTGGGTGCATGGGCCGACACTCTACCACTGAGCCACACCAGCCAGGGCTTGTTGTCGTTTTTTAAAAGAGTGCTTAGTTTTTCTCCAGCATACAGTTCATTTATTTTCAGAGAAGTATGACCATTTCAAGACTGTTTATAAGCTTTTAAAAAGAATCCTCACTTAATGATGTTTTCCATTGGTTTTTAGAGAGACTAGAAGGGAGGAAGGGTGAGAGAGAGAGAGAGAGAGAGAGAGAGAGAAAGAGAAAGAGAAAGAGAGAGAGAAACATTGATGTGAGAGAGACACATCTATTGGTTGCCTCCCACATGACTCTGATCGGGCCAGGGATTGAATCTGCAACTCAGGTACGTGCCCTTAACCGGAATCAAACCCGAGACCCTTTGATCCGAGGGCTAATGCTTTAACTGCTGAGCCAAACTGGCCAGGGCTGTTTTTAAGCTTTTTTTAAGGTTGCCCTAGAGAAGCCTTTATTTTAGGGGTAGTTTCATCTCTTTGGGCTCTACTAGCATTAGGTGAATGCCCTAGGTATTAGGTTCTTTCCACTTTTTGGAACTCGAATATTTCCTAACTTTGTGTGAGCTCCAAATGTTATTCATTTAGCAGCACCTTGATATTTATTCTTTCTCAGGCCTCAAGGAGTCTTACCCTAGGCATGCATAACTTAGTATTCAGACAAAGACTCAAGAAACCGTTATAAAGATTTCTGGAGTTCTTTCTAGATATGGCTGTCACTTCTGCTTACTCTGCCCCACAAATTCCAGACACCTTAGTTTCATCAAACTCTGATTTCTGTTTCCTCAGTTCAAGAAAATTGCTGTGCTGTACTTGGTTACCCCACTCTATGCCAAGGTCTAGTAAATGCCTCCAGGAAGAAAGCCAGAAAGACTATAGAGCTCATCTCATTTGTTTCCCTCCTTCTAGAGATCAGAATCCTTGGTGTCTTTTGTGTAGTCTAGAAAGAATTGTTTCAAGTCCCCCCCCAACCCCCAGTTTTCTATTGTTTGTGGCTGGAGGGACAGTTACTCCTGACCCAGAGTATAAGTTTCTGCTTATATAATTTTCTATCAGGTCTTCTTAATGACATATAAATATTCCACTGTCTGGATATTTCAACATTATTTATTATTTCTATATTGCTGGACCTCTAGGTAATTTAGAGTTATTTGCTATTATAAATAATTATACAATGAATATGTCTATAAAAACAAGCATTTGAGTATAATTTTAAAATTAAAAGGTAGACTACCTAAATGTTCATTAACAGGGAAGTAGCTACATATATAATTGATAAGTCGCTACATATATAAATGATTGTATAGCCATATGTTTTGGGTTGAATTGTGCCCTCAAAAAAGATTGGTTAGCCCTGGCTAGGTGGCTCAGTTGATTGAGCATTTCCTGTGCACCGAAAAATCACTGGTTCAATTCCTGGTCAGGGTACATGCCTCGGTTGTTGGTTCAATCCCCAGTCAGGGTATATATGGGAAGCGCCAGAGAAGCTCCCTCTCCCTTCTTCTCTCTCTAAAATCAATAAAAAGATATTTAAAAAACAAAGATTGGTTAAATTCTTAACCCCCAATACTTCAGAATGTGCCCTTATTTGGAAATAGAGTTGTAGTTGATATAATTACTTAGGATGGGCCGCAATTCAAGATGACTGGTGGTCTTACGAAAAGAGGAGGTTTAGGCACAGAAATAGACACACACAGAAAAAGACTCTGTGAAGATATAAAGGGATAAGATGGCCATCTGACTATAGTGAAAAAAATATGCAAGCCAAGGGATGTCAAGGATTGTCAGCAAATACCAGAAGTGGAAAAGAAGGATTCTCTCCTAGAGCCATCAGAAAAAGCATGGCCCTATTGACCCCTTGATTTTAGACTTCTAGACTCCAAAACTGAGAAACATAGTCCTGTTGTTTTATTTTTTATTTTTATTATTATTATTTTTTTATCCTCACCCGAGGACATTTTTCGATATTTTGTTCGGATAGAGTTGGAGGGAGAGAGAGAGAGAGAGAGCGCAACATCGACGTGAAAGGGTCACATCGAGTGGTTGCCATCCACACGACCCAACCAGGGCCGGGGACAAACTGCAACTGAGGTATGTGCCCCTAGCGGGAACCGAACCCAGGTCAACGCTCCAACTGCTGAGCCAAACCGGCCAGGGATAGTCCTGTTGTTTTAAACCACCCACTTGTGGTACTTTGTTATGGTAGCCATAGGAAACTGATATACCATATAGGAGAGATTATGTGATTATTACAAATCATATTGTCAGAAAATTTCTAAAATATGGCAAAATGTGAATTATAATTATGAAATAGGTACTATTATTATTGCCATTTAACAAATGTGGAAATAGAACCCAGGCTTAATAATTTGCTCAGGATGGCATACATAGTAAGTGGTAGAACATGATTTGATCCAGGTAGATTCCTGTGTGCTCATAACCACTACACTATACTATCTCTTAATTGTTAAAAGTTGTAAGCAGCATTAAAATGTTTTAATGCAAACTGAGAAGTAAATTCCATTTAAATATAAACAAAATAAGCCAGTAAAGAAGAAAATAGGTACTTGAACTACTTGAGTTGGACATAAAATATTCTAACCCACATTACAGTACATTTTAGAATAAATCCTTCAGAGTGGTCATTCCATAGAGTAAACTTAAAAGAACAGTGGCATCTAAAAGCAGTCACAAAAACAAATATATATAAAAATATACTATTATTATTTACTTATGTTTTATTTTCTCCTTTGGAACTGTGAAAAGTCTGTTCCTTGAGTAATGAGGAAAGAAGCCTAGAGATTAGAGGCTGAGTGTAAGATGGTATAGACTGGGGTTTTTTTTCTTTATTGATTTTTTTTTTTTAAGAGAGAGAAAGGGGGAAAGAGAGAGAGAGAGAGAGAGAGAGAGAGAGAAACATTGATGAGAGAGAACATCGATTGGCCGCCTCCTGCACACCCCCCCACTGGGGATTTGGCCCACAACCTGAGCATGTGCCCTGACCAGGAATCGAACTGGCGACCTCTTGGTGCATGGGTCGACGCTCAACCACTGAGCCACACCGGCCAGGCAGGGATAGACTGTTTAGAAGCTAGGGAGTTCTCAGAACCTGCGTACAATAAGAGAAGAAAAATTTCATAGCAGAGGCTATTTAATATAGCTAATAAGGCAGTCTTATATTTCTGAACAAACAACTCTCCTTCTGGGGAAGTTAGTAGGAGGGGCCAGAAAAGCTTCCAGGTAGAAGTTCAGGCAGGTTACAAAGCTGTTTTTCTGTCACATTCCATTCCCTAAACTACCTTTCTCTGTCCATCTAATACAGAAGAGCTTTTACTGAGTTGCCTTTTTACTGAGTTTTCAACAAAGAATGCAATGAGAAAGAAGCTAACAAAATGTTAGTGCTATTTGCTATAAGTCTATTGTTGAAAACAACTCTCACATTTCCTATATAAGGCTGTTTATAATATGGCCCCTATTAAGATCCTATAAAATAAATTTAATTTGTAGTTAATTGCTTAGAAAAGCTTTACATCTTCCTGAGCATATGGCATGTTTTTTCGTCTAATACAAAAAGAGAACCATGTAGCTGATTATTTGCAGCTCAGCCACAAAAAAATTATATGAATCACTATGTGTAGTCTAAGAATCTACATTTTAGTATTTTCTCCCCATCCTTTAATTTTTTTCCCCAAATTATTTTTCCCTGGTCCTTATTTTTAATTAAAAAAAAACCTTTATACTTTACTATTAGTGTTTCTATGTGTTTTTGTGAATGTTTCAAATCATTTATTAAATGACCTTATGTTAATAAATAACTGACAAAGAGTTGTGTCACAAACTTCAAAAAAGAATTATATAAAACCTGATCTAGGCCCTGGCTGATGTGGCTCAGTTGGTTAAGCATCATCCTGTGCATGGAAAGATCGCTAGTTTGATTCCAGGTCAGGGCACATGCCCAGGTTGAGGACTAGATCCCCAATCAAGGTGTATGCAGGAAGTAGTCGATCGATGTTTCTCTCTCTCTCTCTCTCTCTCTCTATCTCTATCTATCTATCTATCTCCCTCTCCTTCTCCCCACTGCTCTCTCTAAAATCAATAAAAACATACTTAAAAAACAAGAAAACAAACAAACCCTGATCTAAATACTTCACAAACCATGGGTGCAGAGAGCAACATCTTATGTGGGGGAATTTTGTGTAGATGAAGACTGGGCACTGGAATGTACCATAAACACTGGATCTCCTTAAGACATCTTGCTCAACAAATTAACTTACTGTAGGCTCCTAATCTTAATATCCCATGATGTTAGAACAGTGTCATTCAGTATCTACTATCGCCAAGCTCATTCTCAAAAAATAAATTTACTTTATAACCTAAGATCTCTTACATTGCATTTTTTAAAGTCTGTGTCCTTAAAAATCACTTCAATACACATTCAAAACTGCCATTCCTATGTAAGGAGAATTTTCCCTGAAAAATAAAAACATAGTTTCTTTTTGGTACATACGATTCTTGCTGCAGACATGTTGCATGGCCCAAACTGCCCATAGCTGGACTCCTGGTGTTGTAAAACAGCCAAGTAATGGGAAAAACGGATTAAAGGACCTAAAAGTTCAAAAGAAAAGAATAAAAGTTACATCCTATACTTAGTGTCATTTTCTTTCTTTATTTTTTAAATTCCTCATCCGAGAATATGTTTATTGATTTTAGAGAGAGAGGAAGGGAGAGAGATGGAGAGAGAAACATCAGTCAGTTGGCCTCCTGTATGCACCTCAACCAGGAATCAAACCCACAATCGAGGTATGTGCCTTGACCAGGAATCAAACCTGCAACCTTTTTGGTATACAGGACAACGCTCCAACCAACTAAGCCACCCAGCCAGGGCTTAGTGTCATTTTCTAAAGCAATGATACCTGAACTTTTCATTCTAGAAATTTCATCCAACTATTTTTTTAATATGTTTTTATTAATTTTTTAGAGAGAGAGGAAGGGAGAGAGAGATAGAAACATTGATGTGAGAGAGAAACATCGAGTGACTGCCTCCCGCACACCCCTACTGGGGGTTGAACCTGCAACCTGGGTATGTGCCCTGACTGGGAATTGAATCAGGACCTCTCAGTCCACATGGGATGATGCTCAGTCCACTGAGCCACACTGGCTAGGCACACCCAAGTATTTTAAAACTAATATAAATGAGCTATAGTATATCTTTCCTTTGTTTTATCCATTTGAAAGAGGGCCATATTCTGGAGAAGTCTTGGTAGAGAAGATGGAGGGTGACTAGAACAAGGTACCAACACAGAAATATTTTTTTTTCAGAAGTACTTTTTTGATCTTGAAGATGCACATTTAAGAATAGCAGACCTTGGCTGGAAAACCTAGAAAAGAAGAAGTTAGTTGATAATTAACTGGTTGGACACCATGAAGGAGGTCTAGAATTAGCCTTTCTATTTCTATTGGCTTTCTGTTCCAAAATGCATAGAACATAAGTTGGGGTGATAAAAAAATGTTGGCAGCAACAGCATTTATGAAGTAGATAACAAAAACAAGTTGTAATAATACTATTTATGCAGCAATCTGGAATACTTCAAGTAATTAGTAACTAGCTATCAAGTCACCTAACTGTCATAAATAGAGTTAGGCATCGAGTCTGCATTTTAATAAATTATTACAAACTGCTTCCCTAAACTAACCTGGCATTACTTCTAGTTCTCTCAATGTGTCATCTTGTTTTGCACCTTCTTGTGTTAATATGCTGTTTTCTGTTCCTAAAATCTTCTGCCCCCACTTAATTATCTCTCAAAACTCAGCTCATAGCCCTGCTGGTGTGACTCAGAGGATTGAGCATCATCCCACGGACTGAGAGGTCAGGTTCGATTCCTGGTCAGGGCATATGCCTGAGTTGTGGGCTCGATCCCCAGTAGGGGGCGTGCAGGAGGCAGCCAATTGATGTTTCCCTCTCACATCGATGCTGCTAGCTCTCTCTCCCTCTCTCTTTAAAAAATCAATAAAAACATATTTCAAAAACAGTAAAAAAAACAGCCCGGCCAGTGTGGCTCAGTGGTTGAGAATGGACCCATGCACCAAGAGGTCGCCGGTTCGATTCCTGGTCAGAACACATGCCCAGATTGTAGGCCAAATCCCCAGTGTGGGGCATGCAGGAGGCAGCCAATCGATGTTCTCTCTCAGCAAAGTTTCTATCTCTCTCTCCCTCTCCCTTTCTCTCTCTCTTTAAAGTCAATAAAAATTTTTAATAAAAAGTAAAAAAACAAAACAAAACAGAAAACTCAGCTCATAATCTACTTCCCCCGGAAGCCTTTAACCATTTTCCAATGCAGATTTAAGTACTCTCATCTTTAATTTTATAGCTTTCTATGCACAAACCTAGCATAATAGTGAATTATATCTGACTCACATTGGTCTCCCTTACTATGCTGTAAGGTTCCTGTGTGTAAGTACCATAACTTACTCCTCTTTGGATTTCAAGAGCATAGAACAAGCCCCTGGCACTTGTCTTCAATAAATGTAGAATGAAGGAAGGACTGATGAATGAGAGGTAACAGAAAAGTAAAAATACTTAGCTTCTTTTAAAGCCAGCAGGAAGATAAATGGCTTGGAGAAAAATTATATAGCTAGTAGGAATTATGCATCTAGTAGGACCTCTAGGCAAGCAAAAAGGTTACTGTTTTAATATTAATTACTTGTTAATTACCTGTATGCTACCATCTCACACTCTGGAGTTGGCCATTTCAAAATAGCTGAATGCTGCAAGACACAAAACACACAAGAAAGGATTACAATATTTTTTTTTAGCACTGCATTATTGCATTGTGAGGCTTTGACAGTTTAACCACTATGAATATTGTTTGTATGCTTCCAGAAAACACCAAATAATCCTACCAGATCATCCAGAAGAGAATTCCTCTGGCTATGGCTCAATGTCCAAGCTTGTTCACCTCTAGATATTAAATGGGCAATAATTCCTGCTGCAAAGTAACTGACTTCCACTTCAACACTATGTAGGAGGCTACTGATGTGGTCTATAAAATCCTTCCACATTAATTCAGAATGCAATTCTTGTACTTCAGCTATATTGTTCTGCAAAAAAAAAGATATAAAATTTAAAGCAATAAGTATAGTAAATGCCTAATGACCCTTTGTATTCTAAGAAATAACAGAGATTTCAAGGATTTAGACATGTATCTGCAAATGGACAATAGGTGAAGACTGTTGCTATATTAGCACAATGGAATTATGGGTAATTTTTTCTCTCTTCTCCAAACAAAATAACAAATAAACAGTAGTGAGTGCCTTTTCAGTCAAAATGTCAAAATAGATGACCTAAAAATGTCCTGATATAAAATATCTGGAAGCAATGGCTGAAAAATAGCTAACAACCTTTAAATATGTAACTTTACTTGCTGGGGTAAAAAGTGAACAGAACCAAACTGGAGCTATCACCAACCTTCAGGGGCAGAGAAATGGGTTTCAATAGCTATGCAAAGGCAGAAAGTAGAGACTAACTATTGGAACTAAGACTTCACATACAAAGGAAGGACTTTCAAAGTGTTACACCTCAATAAAAGAGTGGACTGACATAGATACATGAAAAATAAACCTATTGTAATCTACTCTCTGGCCTAAAAGGAAAAGTCTTTCCTTATTATTTATAACCAGGGGCCTGCCCTCATGCAAGGCTGTGGCTCAAATTATACCATCTGTGTGGTTTAGAGAAACAATAGCAAGAGAGGTAGGCGGAAAACCAGGAAAGTCTGGTACCTAGAAAGCAGAGAGGGGTGGGTATATCAAAAGAGTGAAGGGATCAGCAATTCTGAATACTGGTGGAGAGCCTAAGTAAGATGAAGACAAAAAAGCATCCATTCGTTTGAGAAAAACAGCAATCTTCTGTCTTAAAAATTGCATAGCTTTAGACCCCCCCATTGAGTACCAAAGTTTGCCTGCTGGCTAGAGAAGGTATTATATCTAGACTTGGGGTATAATGGCTTCCCTTGGTAGTACATAAGGAAGATTTCCGTTCACATGGGAAACCACTGAGGGGTTTCTAATTCATCTCACTACTCTGAAGAGTAATCCTAATTCTTTTTTTTTTTTTAAGGATAATTCTTATTTTTTAAAAATTTATTGAATTTTATTAACAAAAAATAAATTTAAAAATTCATTAAAAAATAAAATAAAATTTATTGAATTTTAGAGAAGAAGGGAGAAGGGGAGAGAGAGAGAGAGAAACATTGGTTTGTTGTTCCACTTATTTATGTATCCATTGGTTGATTCTTGTATGTGCCCTGACCAGGGATAGAATCCACAACCTTGGTGTACTGGGTCAATGCTCTAACTAACTGAGCTACCCTACGAGGGCTAATCCTTATTCTTTTTTTTAATCCTCACCTGAGGATTTTTTTAAAAAATTGATTTGAAAGAGAGGGAGAGGAAGGGAGAGTTTTCTCCACACAACCTTTCTGGTGTATGGGACGACACTCCAACCAACTGAGCCACCCAGCAGGGTTAATCCTCATTCTTAAAATTTCATTTGATCTACTATAAAATCATAATTATTTTCCTAACCATTGATTCCATTTGTTTTTTTGTTTGTTTGTTAATCCTCACTCCAGGATATTTTTCCATTGATTTTTACAGAGAATGGAAGGAAGGGAGCGGGGTGGGGAGAAAGAGAAACATTGACTGGTTGCCTCCCACACGTGCCCTGACTGGGGCCAGGGGTTGAACCTGCAACCCAAGTACATGCCCTTGAGTCCTTGACTAGAAACCTGTGACCCTTCTGTGTGTGTGTTGGGGGAGGGGGGGGGGCAGGCAATACTCCAACTACTGAACCACACCAGCCAGGGCTGATTCCATTTTTTAGGAACCAAAAACCTTGACCTTTTCATTGTTAAGAGACTATTCACTTCCAAACATAAGTCATTCTATAATAAATGATAATGAAAGAAAGACATCATATCCACATGTATTCTCTGTAATGATTAACAAGTTTTCTTCTCCAACCATGGAAAAGAGTGAGGGTAGAAGAGACAAATTTAACTAAACTCATTACATGAATGTGTATAATCTTGCCTTTTTCCGTCAGTATCAATGATCAATCAGTGTCTTCTATGCCCCTCTTAATGTCACATATTCAAACAAGAAAAGACATTCACATTTATATTTTACACTCTTCCCTATTTATAACTTTTTACATAGCACGTATCATTTTTCTTTCTTTATTGATTTGAGAGAGAGAGGAAGGAAGAGAGAGAGAGAGATAGAAACATCAGTGGAAGAGAACATCGATTGGCCGCCTCCTGTATGCCCCCACTGTGGATTGGGCCTACAACCTGGGCATGTGCCCTGACTGGGAATCGAACCAGCGACCTCTTGGTGCATGGGTTGACGCTCAACCACTGAGCAACACCGGCTGGGCACATGTATCATTTTTATAGTGACAAAAAAAGAAAGAGATATATGCCTTTTTTAAACTAAGAAATAAAAAATAAAAAGTAGTCCTTCTCCTCCAAAGACCCTCTGAGAAGGACACAACTTTAGCTCAGAGCCACAGAAGATGATGTATCAAAATGCTAAATTACAATTCACAATTAAAACAATCCATAATTAGTGAGAATCATCAAACATAATAATGGATTAGACCTCTCCCAAGAATTGCTCATAATACAACTAAAAGATAGTTACTGATAAAACAACAACAAATTAGAAACACACATACACACAAGAAAATGCAAAGACTAGCCATGATTGGTTTTGCTCAGCGGTTAGAGCATCGGCCCGTGGACTGGGGAGTCCTGGGTTTGTTTCCCACTAAGGGCACGTACCTTGGTTGCGGTTCGTCCCTAGCCCCAGTTGGGGTTGTGCAGGTGGCAACCAATTGATGTGCCTCTTTCACGACGATGTTTCTCTCTCTCTCCCTTCTTCCCTCTCTCCCTCCCACTCTATCTGAAGATAAATGCAAAAAAAAAAAAAATTATATATATATCTCCTTGGGTGAGGATTAAAAAAAAAGAAAATGCAAAGACTATTATTTAAAATAAAAAAAGGAAAGCTTTGGAATAGAACAAAAGAGATTTTCAAAACAATTATGGCTATTCTTTCCTGCCATAAGCAAGTTACTAGAAAATCAGACAAAACATATGAGAACTGTTTTCCAGCAGTAGACAACAGGCTATACAGAAATGTGATCTCTGAGAGAAGGTATTCAAATGGAGCAGTTTCCAGATTGCTGTGTATGTACAAAAAACCTAAAGAGAATCTGGCAGTTCTGCTGATTTGAGGAAACAAAGATCCGAGTAGAGAATGGCCAAGACAGCAAATTTGTAGAAAATTTTTTTTTTTTTTTGTACAGACAGAGTGGGAGGGAGAGAGAGGAAGAGAGAGAGAGGGAAACATCGATGTGAAAGGGACACATCGAGTGGCTGCCACCCGCACGACCAACCAGGGCTGGGGACAAACTGCAACCGAGGTACATGCCCTTAGCGGGAACCGAACCCGGGTCTCTCCGGACCACAGGCAGACGCTCTAACCGCTGAGCCAAACTGGCCAGGGCTGTAGAAAATTTTTGAGCATTAAAAAATATGTATTAAAAGAGCATCAATGAGCTGTGGGGACAATTTTAAGCAGTTAATATATGAGAAACTGTACTTTCCAAAATACTCCAATAGGTTAGGGGCAGTGAGGAGGATGCAAAAATTCTTTTTGAAGAAACAATCCTTGGCCCTGGCCAGTGTGGCTCAGTTGGTTGAGAGTCATTCTGAGCACCGAGAGAGAGGTAGCAGGTTTGATCCCTGGTCAGGGTGTAAGCCTGGGTTTTGGACTCCATTCCCAGTAGGGGGCATGCAGGAGGTAGCTGATCAATGTTTTTCTCTCTCTTTCTCTCCCTTGTTCTCTCTCTCTAAAATCAATAAAAACATAAAAAAATAAATAGAAAAGAAACAATCCCTGATAACATTTCAAACCTGACAAACTATAAATCTATATAGATCCAAGAAGCTCAGTGAATCCCAAATGCAGGTAACATAAAGTAAATCACATCAAGATAAATCATAATTAAATTACTCAGATTCATTACTAATCTTTAAACAATTTTTTTTAATTTATTGATTTAAGAGAAAGAGAGGAAGGCGGAGAGATAGAAACATCAACTTGTTGTTTCACTTATTTATGCATTCACTGATTGATTCTTGTATGTGCCCTGACCAGAGATTGAACCCACAACCTTGCTTTCTTCACTTAATTATAATGTATATATTTTCTAATGTCATTAAGTATTTATAAATAGAGTAGCAACTTCAATATATTACCTCAGACAGAAAATAATTACAGCTTTGAATTAAGCAGGAAATGCTTATATCTTACCAAAAGTCCTAGAACTTTCTGTTGAATGGAGGACTCAGTTGGAAAAGACTGTAAAAACAAAGAGAAACCTATAACTACCTAAAGAACCAATAAAATAAATTATTAAATCAATCAGTAAATGTCAAAACTGAAGGCTAAATTCCCATTCTAACCTCTAGAACCCTCATGAAGAGTTCTAACCCTTGGTTTTCAATAAAGTGTCTACAAGTGGTTGGAGATTCATCTGTGAGGTTCCAAAGTGCACTCAAAGTAAATTTCAAAGTAGTGTCCACCGAATTTTGATTGGTTTTCTGCTTCACTATTTGAAGAAGTTGCTGAAAGAAAAATAGAATTAATTTCTCATTATTGAATAATTATAATTATTAATGGTAATAAACACAGTCCATGTTTAGTCTTATGACTTAAGACACTTTCTATAAAGGTTTTTATAAGTATAACAAACAGCTTCCTGGATCAGACTATTCCTCCAACAAGAGAAAAGTATAAGAACTTCATAAGTACTTCTATGTTATTTTTATTGTACCTATAATCTAATTGCCTGTAAATAAAATGAAAAGCAAAGTTATTAAAGCTTGGGACCAACTATCTTACCCAATTGGTCACAACATACATTCATTTCAGATCCTGGGATAAAAAATGTGAAGGAGAGAAGGGGAAAATAAAGCAAACATTTATTTAGCATCAGCAAATTATATCCTAAATTGTAGACACTTCCTATAATTGTAGACACTTCCTAAATTGTAGTGCTATTCCCATTTTTCAGGAGAGAAAATTCAGTCTGAGAGGTATTAAATTTGAAATTCCACTTGTATATTATCTCTAACATAGCTTTAACCTAAGAAATTTAAAGTGTGAAAGTTAACTGTTTTAAGACCTACATAAGGCATCCACAATTCCATTTTTAGATTCTACTTTTGGGGGTTAGAGAGAGCTCTGCTAAGAGATACAAGAAAACATTAATGAACACTTATTTAAAGATACATTAATGGCCCTGGCCAGTTTGGCTCAGCGGTTAGAGCATCAGCCAGCGGTCCAGAGAAACCTGGGTTCGGTTCCCGCTAAGGGCACGTACCTTGGTTGCAGTTTGTCCCCGGCCCCGGTTGGGGTTGTGTAGGAGGCAGCCACTCAATGTGTCCCTTTCACATCGATGTCTCTCTCTCTCTCCCTCCCTCCCTCCCTCTCTGAACAAAAATGGAAAAATGTCCTCTGGTGAGGATTAAAAAAAAAAAAAAAAAAGATGCATTAATGAACACTTATTTAAAGATACATACAATTCAGGAAAAAAAAATTTTAAGAAATACATGCCCAGCCGGAATGGCTCAGTGATTGAGCATCGACCCATGCACCAAAAGGTTGCTGGTATGATTCCTGGTCAGGGCACATGCCCAGGTTGTGGACCTGATCCCCAGTGTGGGGCATGCAGGAGATGGCTAATTGATGTTCTCTCTCATCAATGTTTCTCTCTCTCTCTAAAATCAATAAAGAAAAAAAAAAATTAAGAAACACACTTATGTGCAGTTATTTAAAGTAATAGTATAGTGGCTAAGCGTTTAACAGTAGAACCATGTTTCCTGAGCTAAAATAAAATCTCTGCATCTGGTTAACTGTTTGCCAATTCTTTGTTTCCTCATTTGTAAATTGCAGGTGCAAATTAAGATTTTTTTAAAAAAGCTAGCTATTATCATCATTACTACTACTACTACTACTACTACTATTTTCTGCTAATTCCTGCTTAAACTAAGCTTAATTTTCCCCCGAAGCATATGAGAGAACTATTTCCTTAAAATCTTTGAATATAGCCCTGGATGGTTTGGCTCAGTAGTTAGAGCATCGGCCTGCGGTCCCGGGGTTCGGTTCCCACTAAGGGCACGTACCTCGGTTGCAGTTTGTCCCTGGCTCTAGTTGGGTCGTGCAGGTGACAACCACTTGATGTGTCCCTTTCACGTCGATGTTTCTCTGTCTCTCTCCCTTCCACTCTATCTGAACAAAAAATGTAAAAATGTCCTCGGGTGTGGATAAAAAAAAAAAAAATTTGAATATATTTCCAGCCAAAATTACTGAAACACATATAGAACAATAAAAAGCCATATTTATAACTAAAATGTCATCCCTAAAAATAGTAATATCAGCATCCTTTTCTACTTACCTATCAAATGTATGACTTACTTTGCCATTACATACACAATTTGTGAGTAATAGAAAAAGGCAGTCTTTCACTTGACTTTTCCTTCTACTATGGTTATTCAAACACCTCATGCCAAGATTATAACAGGAAGCCCCAAAGTGGACTTTTGCCTCCAGTCCTCTTATTCTGTTCATATTTACTCTCTTTAAAGCTTTTTAACTTTTCACTGTTTACTATGTTATTTCTTCAACTGTGTAAGCAAGAAAAATATGTCAACTATTTAAATTATCTTCTTCCTCAAATCATCTAGCTTTAGCACAATCTTATGCCTATTATAGTCTTTATATTTTCTTCATAAATTTAACAAAATCACAGAGTTTTAGAACTAGATAGGATCTTATGGCTTATGTACACCCCAACAGTTCAGGTAGTTTGTCTAAATTCACAAAATGAGTTTACAAATAGATCCTAGATCATCTGACTCTTAGTTCAGGATTCTTTTTATCTCTGTTAAGGAGTAAAGCTGCCTCTATAAAAAGAAATAAATATCCTCATTTAGAAGTAACAAAAATAAGTTTTTAAAATATAAAACATCAGAAGGTACACAACACTGCTTGAAAACAATGAAAATAAAAACTGTCTAGTTGTCTGCATAGAGGAGATAACACTTACCCTAACGATGAAGAGCTCAGCACCAAGCTGTGCAGTTTGTTCTGTAGAAAGCTGCAAGCAAGCAAAGTAAATGTCCAAGAACCCATTAGTGTGAGTTTAATTAACATCATTCACTGTAACAGACTCTAAATGTAAGAGTAAAATCTCTGATCAACCTTAAATTCTGCAATATTGAATGCAGCTTGAATAAGCAGGCTGGAGAGAGGCTTACTAACATTTGTGGCTCACAGATTTTGGGAAAATAATAACTATTAGGAGAAACACGAATTCAGGTACCTTGGCAGCCAGGATAGAAATGATGGCAACTGCCATCCTTTGCATGTTTTGATCCTCATGGTTGCAAAGCCACTGCATAACAAGCTTGGCTGCTTCAAACCTAAAAACACACAAATGAGTTCATGAATGAATCCTGGAGGCCCAGGCACAGTTTCAGAGTCCCAGGTGAAAAGTGATAATTCCTCTGAATTAATAGAGAATAATCATTATACTTAGTATTCTGGAGACGGTACCTCATTATTAATTCTGACAACACTTTGTAAAGAAATAAGAGTCAAAACTATTGGGCATTCATATTCTAAAATTATAACATATTGTTATTCTGTAGTGATGTCTATACTGTAATGATAAGTTAAGTATTTTCTGGGTTCCTCACAGTACCTAGCACAACAGAAATTCCTTAATTCACAAACATTTATTGAGCTTCTGCTTTGCACCAGATATTGTTCTTGGAGCTAGAGTTAGAGTAGTGAATAAAATGAAAATATCCCTACTCTCATAGGCCTTACACTCTAGTGGGGAAAAACAGATAATAAATTAGAAAATAAGTAAAGTATATGATTAAATATAGACATATGCTATAAAGAAGAAAAACAGCCCTGGCCGGTTCGACTCAGCGGTTGGAGCATTGGCCTGCGGACCAAAGAGTCACGGGTTTGGTTCCTGCTAGGGGCACGTACCAAAAAAAAAGAAGAAGAAAAACAGGGAAAGAGAGGACATGAAATGTTGAAATTTTATGTAGGGTAGCTAGGGAAGGTCTCATTAAAACTTTTGAGGAAGTAAGAGCTAGCCATGTGGAAATCTAGTATTTCAGGCAGATGGAATGAGAAACACGACGATCCTGAAGTGAGAGTGTGCCTGGAGGTTTTGAGAAATACCACGGAGGCCAGTGAGGCCAGGGCAGAGAGAACAAAGGAAAGAATAGTACTAAGAAATGAGGTCTCAGTCCCTAGCCTGTTTGACTCAGCAGTTAAGAGTGTAGGCCCTTGGACCAAACAGTTACGAGTTTGTGGGTCAATCCCTGGTCCCAGTAAGGGTCCTGTGGGAGGCAACCAATTGATGTGTTTCTCTCACTTCGATGCTTCTTTCTCTGCCTCCTTCCTTCCCACTGTATCTAAAAAAAAATCAATAGAAAAATATCCTCTGGTGAGAAGTGAAGGAAGGAAGGAAGGAAGGAAGGAAGGAAGGAAGGAAGGAAGGAAGGAAGGAAGGAAGGAAGGAAGAAGGAGGTCCCAGGTATGAATTAACTTTTACTCTGAATGAGATAAAAAGCCATGGAAGAATTCTGAGCAGAGATATGAAATGAACCAATTTATGTTTTAAATAACATTATTCTATGAGTTGTATTTAGAATAAACTTCAGGAGGGCTAGAACAGAAGCATGGAGAACAGTTCAGAGGCGACCACAGTCATTCAGGAGAGAAATCACTTTTAGATTAATCCAAGTGGTAGAAATAGAAGTCAAGACAATGGCCAGATTAGGGGTATATTTTGAAGATAGAGCTGGCTTTGTCAAAGGACTGAATGTAGGATGTGAAATAAGGAGAGAAATCAAGGAATATATCTGATTATCTTACCCATAATTTTATCTTTCAAGACTCAACTCAAGTAATACTTCCTTTGAGCAGCCTTTCTCGACAAGTTTTATCATTGATTTCTCATTACTCCTTAGCACTTGTTTATAATTCTATCAGAGAGTTGTGATTATCTGTAGACTCACCTGAATACCCCATTGGTATGTGAGTTTCTTGACAGAAGGGACCACATCCTATTTAGCCCTTTATGACAAGAACCCAATACAATGCTTTACACATGAACATTGTTTAATACATGTTGGCTGAATGATTACATTGAGTAAATTACTCCTCTGCAACGTCCTTCAAATTTATTTTATTATTAGTATTATTTTATTCCTCACCAAGGTTATTTTTTCCATTGATTTTTTTTTTTTTTTTGGAGAATGGAAGGGAAGGGAGAGAGGGGGGAGAGAAACATCTATGTGAGAGAGACACATCGATGGGTTGCATCCCGCTTGTGCCCCATAAGGGCCAGGGATCAACTTGTAACCCAGGTATGTGCCCTTGACTGGGAATCAAACCTGAGACCCTTAGGTCTGTGGGCCAATGCTGTAACCACTGAGCAATGCTGGCCAGGGCCTTCAAATTTATCGTTAACTCCTTTCTATTTTCAAGGCCATCTTTGATCATGCTCCCCATCCCCTGCCCCACATATTACGGTAGATTGACATGTTTTTTAAATGCCTTTTAAGCTACAGGTTTCTTTATTTCCCTTCCTCCCCTTCCCATTCCCTTGTCATTTATTTGATGAAGAAATTGGTTTCTTTGTCCTGTAGAAATTCTTATAGTCTGGATTTTTCTGATTTCTGCCCTGTGGTGCTATTTAACATGTTCTTCTACCATCTTTATTTCCTATAAATTAGTAGTTTGATTTAGACATTTAATCGGATTTACATTTGATTTTTAGGGGGGCAAAACTACTTCCTAGATTGTGTTGTAGTCTCTTGTCAGAAGGCACATAACGTCTAGTTGTCGCTCTTTTTGTGGTTTTAGTAGCCATTGGTGTTTATTGCTTATATCCATTAGTTAATTAGGAATTATAAAGTGTTGACATTCTTATCCTATCATTCTTTCTTCATCAATTAGTTGAAATACAAATAATTTAATACATCTACTATTTGATTGTCTAGTAATATAGTTGTTATAGGAAATACAGGATAAATATTTGATTCCTTCCCTTTATTTGCCAGCTTTCAAAATGATGAGTGGTTTGCTATAATCATATAATCTTCTAATGGTGACCAATTGTTGTAGGTTTTATTGTATTTTTAAAATAGCATTTGCCAGGTAGTTGTATACTGAGGCATCCCAGAGAGCTGTCTATGACTCCCTAAATACCTCATGCTTTACCATAGTCAGGGTTGGTGATAGCAAATATCACAGGGCTATACCTTTAGGACCCCAGCTCTGGGGACAGGTCAGCTACAGAGGTGGAAAATGAGGTATGCCTTGATAGAATCAGTCCGCCAACATTTAAAAAACAATTTTTTAAATTCCCACCCTTCACTCCCTTTCCTTTGGCAATTATCAGCTTGGTCTCTATATCTATGGGTCTGTTTCTTTTTTGTTTAGTTTATTCATTCATTTTGTATTTTTTAAATTCCACATATAAGTGAAAGTATATGGTATTCATCTTTTTCTGTCTGACTTACTTTACTAAGCATAATACCAACTAGGTCCATCCATATTGTCACAAATGGCAAGATTCCATTCTCTTTTTAAAAATTATTTTCTTGCCTGGCTGATGTGGCTCAGTGAATTAAGCATCGTCCCATTAACTGAGAGGTCTTGGTTCGATTCCCGGTCAGGGTACATGCCCAGATGTGGGCTTGATCCCCAGTGGGGGCTGTGCGGGAGGCAGCCGATCAATGTATCTCTCTCACATCGATGTTTCGATCTCTCTCTCCCTTCTTCTCTCTCTAAAAAATCAATAAAAACATACTAAAATAAATAAAATTTAAACTTTTTTATAAATGTTATATCGTATTTCAATTACACTTGACATTCAATATTATTTTATATTAGTTTCAGGTGTACAGCATAATGGTTAGACATTTATATAATTTACAAAGTGATCCTTCCAACAATTCTAGTACCCACCTGGCACCATACATACTTATTACAGTATTATTAACTATATTCCCTATGCTGTACTTTACACCCCCATGACTATTTTGTAACCATCAATTTGTACTCCTTTATCCCTTCCCTTTTTCACCTAGCTCCCCAAAACCCCTCCCATCTGGCAACCCTCAGTTTTTTCTCTGTATCTGTGAGTCTCTTTCTGTGTTGTCTGTTCATTTATTTTGTTCTTTAGGTTCCACACATAAGTGAAATCACATGGTATATGTCTTTGTCTGATTTATTTCACTTAGCATAATACCCTCTATGTCCATCCATATTGTCACAAATGGCAAGGTTTCACCCTTTATTTTTATTTATTTATTTATTTTTGGGGGTCCCCCTAGCAGGAACCAAACCCGGGTCCGCAGGCCAATGCTCCAATCACTGAGCCAAACCAGCCAGGGCTCACTCTTTTTTTTTTTTGAAATTTTTTTTCTTTATTGATTTTAGAGAGAGAGGAAGGGAGAGAGAGAGAGCTAGAAACATCGATGAGAGAGAACATCGACTGGCTGCCTCCTGCATGCCCCCCACTGGGGGTTGGGCCCACAACCTGGGTATGTGCCCTGATCAGGAATCAAATCGGTAACCTCTTGGTGCATGGGTCGATGCTCAACCAATGAGCCACAACGGCTGGGCCAGGGCTCATTCTTTATAATTTTAAATAATATCCCAATAAATAGGTAGGTAGGTAGATAGATAGACAGATATAGATATATAGATGTACAGATGTGGATATAGACAGACAGACAGATAGATATAGATGTATACCACATCTTCTTTATCTAGTCATCTACTGAGAGATATCTAGGTTGCTTCCATATCTTGCTATTACTAGTAATGCTGCAACGAACATAATGGTACATATATCTTTCTGTAGTAGATTCCTAATGAGCCTCTGCCTCCATTGCTTTCCCTTCAATTTGTGCCTACACATTGGTAATAAATAAATCTGTCATAGAAATTAGGTATGATGTCACTCCTGTACTCAATATTTTAGGACTCTAGTAATGGACCTGTACATTCAAATCTTCTTTTTTCTGGTCTACCCTATTTTTACTGCAAAGTGGGCTGCTCATTAGTCCCCCAAACATACCCAAAATCATGAAGTAATACACCCTGGTAGTTAAGAGCACAGATTCTGAAGTTCTTTGGATTTTTGGATTTAAATACTACTTCTACCTAGTGTCAATGATTATAATAAAATTAATTATTTTATCATGTGAGGCAATGCAGTCAAGTCATTAAAACCATCATAAACTGCCCTGGCTAGTGCGGCTCAGCAGACAGAGCATCCACCTGGGCACCAAAGGGTCTCAGGTTTGATTCCTGGTCAAAGGTATGTACCTGGGTTGCAGGTTTGATCCCTAGCCCTGCTCGGAATGCAGGCAGAAGGCAACTAACTGATGTTTCTCTCACATCGATGTTTCTCTCTCTCTCTCCTCCTCTCTCCCTCTCTTCTACTCTCTAAAAATCAAGGGAAAAAATATCCTTGGGTGAGGATTAACAAAAAACAAAACAAACAAACAAAAATCATCATCTTTGGAGTCAGCCTGGACTCAAATATCACCTTCCACCACTTACTAACTTTGGGACCCTGAGCTAGTTCCTTAATCTCCCTTAACTTCAATATTCTCATCTGTAAAATAATAAGATCTATTCCATACAATTGTCATGAGGATGAAATGATATCACATATCAAGCTAAAGATTTAGTACAGAACTTTGCACACACTAAGCTTTTGATAAAGGTTATTTTTTACTACTGTTATTATTAACTTCCTCTGTGCCTTTATTTGTTCAGTTCCCAAAACATAAAAAAATCAACTCAACCACCTTCATCTTCAAGGCAATATAGCACAGTGTAAAAAGTAAAGGCTCTGAGTTAGTCTGGATTTAAATCTAAATTCTGGTACTTGCTATCTTATCACCTTGAACAAGTTACTAACCCTCTTTGTTCCTCCGTTTCCTCATCTGTAAAATGAAGACAAGAATAACAATTTCACAGGACTGTTGTAAGGACTGAATAAGCATATGTAAAACACAGCACAGTACCTTGTAATATCAGTGCTTCATACATGTTAGTTATCTTTATTATCTCAAACGCCATTACTAACAGGAATTCTTTAAAGCACTAGCAACAAAAAGATTAATCAATCATAATCTCTGACCACAAAGAAGCTCAATTCTAGTAGAGTACATTGGCTATCAAATGAAACTAGTAATCTATATGATATATATATAGTTATATTTTATCCAAACTATTTATTTTAAATAGTAAATGGAACACTTCATTCCTCAGCAATGCCTGATAACAGTGTACTGTTAACAAAATTAAAGTAAACCACAGTAAAATTGCTGGTTAAGAAATAATACTTTTCGACTTCTGGTCAAGATGGCGGCGTAGGTAAACGAGGCATCGTGTCCTCCCACAACCACATCAAAGTTACAACTAAACTACAGAACAACCATCATTCAAAACCACCTGAAATCAAGCTGAATGGAAGTCCTACAACTACGGAATTAAAGAAGCAGCCACACCGAGACTGGTAGGAGGGGCGGATGTGGACGGGCTGGTCCCAAAACCACGTGTGGCGGATAAAAAACCCTCAGCTGGGAAGGTCCTCCCTGAGGACTGACGGGTTCCTGTCCCACACCAGGCGCCAGTGCCAGGAAGAGAAGTCCCCATAACTTCTGGCTGGAAAAAACAGTGGGAACTGAGGCTCAGGGAGGTCAAGGCAGCTGGAGCCCCAGGTAGCTCCTTAAAGGGCCCGTGCACGGACTTATCAGACTCACTCCCTCTAAATTTAGAGGGGAGGCAGCTCGAGGGGCACCAGAGACCTATAGGGAAGAACTGAGCTGTTTGGCATTGGAGCGAGGGCTGGAGAGGGGGCTTTCTCTGGGACAGACGTGCTGTCAGAGGCCTTTGTTCCTTTGGTGAGCCCTTCCCTGTCTGCCGCCATATCTGGGACTCCAGCAACCTGGCTCACACTGGTTACCCTGCCCTGGTGACTCCCTGAGGCCCCGCCCCACCCAACTTTCAGGCCCACCCAAGCTGTTGCCAGTTGCTTAACCATAGGATTGGCCTGTCTTTGGATCCTGCTTCAGGTTTTCCTAAATTCTTTCAAACAAACAGCATCTGGTCTCAGCTAGCCCCAAACCTCTCGTTAAGTAATACACAGAAACAAACACAGGGAGGCAGCCAAAATGAGGAAACAAAGAAACAGGTCCCAAATGAAAGAACAGAACAAAACCCCAGGAAAAGAACTAAGCGAAATGGAGATAAGCAACCTAACAGATGCTGAGTTCAAAATACTGCTTATAAGGATGCTCAGTGAACTTAGTGAGAACCTCAGAGAACTTAGTTAGGGCCTCAAGAGCATAAAATAGGACCAGTCAGAAATGAAGGATGCACAGTCAGAAATGAAAGAGGCACTAACTGAAATAAAGAATAATTTACACAGATTCAATAGTAGAGTAGGTAAAACCAAGAAGCAAACCATCAATTTGGAATATAAGGAAGCAAAAAGAAAAAAGAACCCCAAAAAATGAGGATAGTGTAAGGAGCCTCTGGGACAACTTCAAGCATGCCAACATTCGCATCTTGGGGGTGCCAGAAGGAGAAGAGAGAGAACAAGAAATCAAAAACCTATTTGAAACAATAATCGCAGAAAACTTCCCTAACATGGTGAAGGAAACAGACATACAAATCCAGGAAGCACAGAGAGTCCCAAACAAGATGAACCCCAAGAGGCCCACACCAAGACACATCATCATCAAAATGCAAAATGTTCAAGACAAAGAGAGAATCTTAAAGGCAGCAAGAGAAAAGCAGTTAGTTACCTACAAGGGAGTTCCCATAAGATTGTCAGCTGATTTCTCAAAAGGAACTTTGCAGGCCAGAAGGGAGTGGCAAGAAATATTCAGAGTGATGAAAAGCAAGAACCTACAACCAAGATTACTCTATCCTGCAAAGCTGTCATTCAGAACTGATGGCCATATAAAGAATTTCCCAGACAAGAAAAAGTTAAAGTAGTTCATCACCACCAAAAAGTTATATGAAATGTTGAAGGGTCTCTTTGAAGGAAAAGATAAAATATATGATCAAACAAAATGGCAATGAATATGTATCTAGCAACAATGCAATCTACAAACAAAATGAACAGGCAGAACAGAAACATTCTCATAGATACAGAGAACATTTTGTTGGTTGCCAGATGAGAGGGGGGTTGGGGGAATGGGTAAAAAAGGTGAAGGGATTAAGAAGTACCAATTGGTTGCTAGACTGACAAACCTCAAAGGGAAGGGGGTTGGGGGAGTGGGAAGAAATAAACCAAAGAACTTATATGCATAACCAATGGACACAGACAACAGTGTGGGAAAGGGAAGGAGCGGGGCAGGAGTGGGGAGGAGGCGGTCAATGGGGTAAAAATGAGGAACATCTGTAATACATTCAACAATAAAGATAAAAAAAAAGAAATATACTTTTCATTAAATAATAAAATATAAGTTTCTTTTTCAAAATATCATGATTAAGAAATTATATTTTAAAATAGTAAAATGAAAAAATAAATCACCTTTTTAGCTTCCAAATCATAACATCTTAGAAAACAAAAGAACCCTTTTCACTTACTAGAAACCAGTCTTCCTTTAACCTCTGCTTAAAAGTTTCTTCTATAATTCAATATCAAATAACTAATAATAAGAGATATGACATAGAGAAAGAACACTGGACCTAGAACTAGAATACTTCTAGCCTGGCAGTTACTACTCACAAAACCATGGACAAGATACTGACTCTCTCTATTCCTCAATTTCTTTAGCCTACATTATTGTGTGGACACTTTAAAAACTATAATCAATATAAATTCTTCAGCAAGGGACTCTGAAAACAGGGGCCAATGTACTATCATGAATATCAAGGCACTAAACTATAGAAAATAGATTGAGCATTCTATAAGGCAACATATAATCCCATCCACTTGATTAATCGTACACCAGGGATATCCTAACTGGTAAGAAATTACCCAAGACAGATTTCTAAAATTCTGTTTTGTCCCATTTTGAGTTCTAGGACTATCACTTGCCTGTTAAATGGAACATCTTGAAGAATCCGGTCACTGCAAAGTGAAAGGAGGCAATTCTTCTGTAACTAAAAAACCAAAGGGAGAAAAAAAAAAATCCTGAATAAAATAGTGCTTTGTTATTTTTTTAAACAGGAGTAGCCTCTATACTTTAAAAAAAAAAAAGGAAGAAGACTGATGAAACACTACTTATTTCTTACTACCTTTATTCTAGTCCCCTACTGTTGAAAGAATGACTTCCACTGGACCCATATGTTTACCAGCACATATTTTTTTCTTTTCCATTAGATGAGAAATAGGATAATAAATAGAATAATTCCAGCTAATTTCCCTCTGTTCTGGTAGACTTTGGGTGGGTAATGTTTTGTCTTCTGTCCCCCGGGCTTCCAGAGGCCATGAAAATGCCTAAAGTTCATCTAGTTTGAGGGAAGCTGGCTTTAATGATCCACTCGCCAATCTGGGTTGCTGTTTTTACTTAGTTTTGGACCTCTTGAGTATATCTTTTTACTAACTTGCCAACTCCCTGCTAAATTTTAAGAGTCAAAAAATATAATTTAAGCCCTGGCCAGGTGGCTGGAGCATTGTCCCATACACCAAAAGGTTGCAGGTTTGATTCCTGGTCGGGGCAAGTACAGGAGGCAACCAATCAATGCTTCTCTCTCATATCAATGTTTCTCCCTATCTCTCTCCCCTCCTCTCTCCCCCCCAAAAAAATATCAATAAAAACATACCCTCAGATGAGGATTTAAATATATATATAATTTAAGCTGTATTTTGAGTTTTTATCTGGTTAGGTTTTATAGTCTACCATCCTGCTAGAAAAAGAAAATCTATGTCTTATTCATTTCTGTATCCCAGTACTTGATAGTATTATGCCTGTTTGCTGAAATTATCAGACTCAAGATCTAGGTTGAAGATGAGTTTTATATAGCTTGCACTATTTCCCTCAACATTTGGATTTAAATCTTGTTTAGACAGATGCCCTGGCCGGTTTGGCTCAGCAGTTAGAGCGTTGGCCCGCAGACCAATGAGTCACGGGTTTAATTCTGGTCAAAGGCACGTACCTCGGTAGCGATTTGTCCCTGGTCCTGGTTGGGGTCGTGAAGGAGGCAGCCACTCGATGTGTCCCTTTCACATCAATGTTTCTCTCTCTCTCTCTCTCTCCCTCTCTCTCCCTCTCTCTCTCTCTCTCTCTCTCTGTTCCTCTCTCTCCCTCCCATTCTATCTGAACAAAAATGGAAAAATGTCCTCAGGTGAGAATAAAAAAAAAAATCCTGTTTAGGTAGGTAATGTGCACTTTAGTTTTCTACAGCTTTGTTGTCCTACACTCAATCATACCACAAATGTATTACTTAACAGCTTCCAAAGTCATTTGAATTTCCAGCCTTGGTCTACCAAATTGAACTATATGGAGGTAGGAGATGGGTAGGAGACACTAAAAGGACTATTTGAATGCAGATTCCCATATGCTTACCTGCTGGTGATTAGGAAAATGTTCCATAGCTTTCAGCAGCAAATGGGTCACATCAGCAAGGAGTCGGACAGGCATTCCTACAGCAAGATCCTGCTTGGTTAAGTTAAATACACAGGCGCTTGCAGCAAGTTGCACTGGCAAATTCATAGGATGGTTTCTCATCCCAGTGACCACAAGCTAGGAAAAAAATTAGTTATCTTAATCCACCTTATAAATCCAACCCCTCATCACATAGCAACATTATTTTGTTAATCTATAATAATTTCTAAAATGTTTTAAGTATTATTTTTTATTCTCATGTGTAAAGAGCCTGGGACATAGCAGTTGCTCACTAATACTTCGTTTCTGCCTATCTGGTGGAGATAGGCATCAAATCATTCATGCCCAGAAATTTTTCTGTAAAGCTAATGAATCTTTTCTATTGAGGTAATTCATCTTTGTATTTCCAAGACCTAGTAGAGTATCTATTATATGCTTAACACTAAATAAATTCTTACTGACTTGAATAGAATAAAACAGAGGCAAATTTCACTTTCAGACAAGATTGGGCACATTCAGGGTGATATGGCAGTAAACTAAACTTCGCTTCCTTTTTTTTTTCTTACTTTAACTTTTGATACACAGGATGATGCTCCAACCAACTGAGCCACCTGGCCAGGGCTCTCTACTTTTACTTTTATTAGCATTTATTTTATGCTGAATTTACTCCTGGGCCATAGTTATTGTTTCTTCAGTTTCTTCTGGGATATATTTTTGTTTTTAAATATTTTTTTCTTTATTGATTGTTTTTTAGAGAGAAAGGAAGGGAGAGAGAGAGAGAGAGAAACACTGATGAGAGAGAACATCAACTGGCCGCCTCCTGCATGCCCCCCACTGGGGATTGGGCCCACAACCTGGGCATGTGCCCTGACCAGGAATCGAACCGGTGACCTCTTGGTGCATGGGTCGATGCTCAACCACTGAGCTACACCAGGCCGGGCTGGAATATATTTTTCTTCCATGTGACTTCCTCTTCTGGTTTAAGAACAATCTTCTCTTTTTCAGTAAGGATCATCTCAATATAGCAGGGAGAGTTCATGTGTGGGTTAATCTGCCCATGAGCTCTGTAAATTCTGCACTGCATCTTGGGAGTTTTGTTCACCTGGATATGCTCAAAGACCAGAGAACCTACATCTAAACCCTGAAGTTTTGCATTCCTCTGCATTTTTAAGCATATGTAGCAAAAAATTCAGCAATGATTTTGGGCCACTAACCCTGCATCCTCCCAGACTCTATGGCCTGGGCAAACCTACCAACTCCACCACTCTAGTTCTTTTTTTTTTCCATTCCTCACCTGAGGATATTTTTCTATTTATCATTAGATAGAGTAGGAGGGAGAGAGGAGGGAGGGAGAGAGAGAGAGAGACCGAGACAGAGACAGAGAGAAACATCGAAGTGATAGAGAAACATTGACTGGTTGCCTCCTGCACAACCTGACCAGGGCCGGGGACGAACCACAACCAAGGTATGTGCCCTTGAGTGGAATAAACCTGCAATTCATTGGTCCATGGGCCAACACTCTAACTGCTGAGCCAAACTGGCCACACCTCTACCATTCTAATGACAGAATGGTACACATTGCTTCTGTAAAGTGATATCTTTCAGATAGTTGGTGGCTTTTCAAATATGCATACCCTTGATGGCCTAGGCAGTTTCACGGGTGTTCTTAAAGTTAACACAAAGATTTGAACCTCTTGATTTGCATGATTTTGTGGGATTTTCTCAGTCAAGTGAATAGCAAATCATTTCCAAAGGTCACTTCAGGCCACTTACGGGAAGAGTTAAACTTTACTTTCAAATCTCAACATTCAGTTCCCCGAGAACACTGTTAAAATTAGAGTACAATAGCCCAGCTGGTGTGGCTCAGTGGACTGAGCATCGTCCCATGGACTGAGAGGTCTCGGTTTGATTCCAGGTCAGGGCCCATGCCTAGGTTTTGGGCTCGATCTCCAGTACGGGGCATGCAGGAGGCAGTCAATCGATGTTTCTCTCTCACATGGATGTTTCTATTTCTCTCTCCCTTTCTCTGTCTAAAAAAAATCAATATAAACATTTTTTTTTTTTAAATTAGAGTACAATAAAATCCATTCACTTCCCTCTGGCTTAGATAATTATTTACCTTTTCCTCTCCAATCAAACCCCCAACAAATCTTCCCCATTCCTCATTATCATCTGAAGACCTTGCTTTCAACCACTGAGAAAACTGAAGCAATGAGAAAAGAACTTCAGAATCTTACTACCACATGTACCCCTTTACTAGCATATACACATGCTGCCTTCTTGCCTGTCACCATAAATGATTTTTGTGGGTTCCTGTTTAAAGGTAATCTTTCCACTTGTGCTAGATCTTTCCTTTCTTGTCTACTCAAGAACATTGTTTCAGCTGTTCTCCCCTCTCGTTTTTACATCATTTTAAAGTTCTGTACTAGATTCCCTGGCCAATTTTGCTCAGTTGGTTGAGTGTTGTCCCATGCACAGAAAGGTCATTGGTTTGATTCCCAGTCAGGGCACATATCCAGGTTGTGGGTTTGATTCCCAGTTGGGGTGGGTATGGGAGGCAACCGATCGATGTTTCTCTCTATGTAGCCCTCTCCCTTCCTCTCTAAGGCCATAAAAAAATATATTTAAAAAAATTCTGGCCCTGGCCAGTCTGACTGAGAGGTTAGAGCATCAGCCCATGGACCAAAGAGTCACAGGTTCAATTCCAGTCAAGGGCACATACCTCTGTTGCTGTTTGTCCCCTGCCCTGGTTGGTCGTGCGGGAGGCAGCTGGTCGATATGTCTCTTTCATATTGATGTTTTTCTCTCTCCTTCTCTTTCTCTTTCTCTCTCTCCCCCTCCCACTCTATCTGAAGATAAATGGAAAAGTATGCTCGGGTGAGGATTTAAAAATAAAATTCTGTACTAGATCATTCATATCACCATATATACAAGCTGTTTTGCCCCCTATCTTAAAAAAAAAAAAATTTCCTCAGCCAACTACCACCTTTTTTTCTTTGCTCCCTTTTGCAGCAAAACTCCTTAAAATAATTGCCTATATTACTTTATTCCTCTCTGTATCATTCTCTGAATGAATGAATGAATGAATGAATGAATGAGTAAATATTTCAGATCAGGACTAGACCTCTAGTCCTTTGTTGCTAAAATATATATATATATATATTTTGCATATACCAAGTGCCAATATCCTCTGGTATGTATGAAGGGGGTGACAGGAGTTGAGGATAACATCCTAGGGACTGAAACATACTTGTTCCTATCCAAGCACTCCATTCTCAAAATTTAAGATACCTGAAGGTTAAGTCATTTCTGGTTGTGCCACTGACTTATTGTTATTTAACCTCACAGACCCTCACAATCTATAAAATAGAAGATACAACTTACCGGTTGGGATTGTTGAGCCCACTAAATGAGGTACCAAATATAATATAGTCCTATACTCACTGGTTTCAAAAGTGAATGTGTCTAGCCCTGGCTGGTTTGGCTCAGCGGTTAGAGCGTTGGCCTGCGGTCTGGAGAGACCCGGGTTCGGTTCCTGCTGAGGGGGCGTACCTCGGTTGCAGTTTGTCCCTGGCCCTGATTGGGTCGTGTGGGTGGCAACCACTTGATGTGTCCCTTTCACGTGGATGTTTCTCTCTCTCTCCCTCCCACTGTATCTAAACAAAATATCAAAAAATGTCCTCGGGTGAGGATAAAAAAAAATAATAAAAATATTTTAAAAAAATGAATGTGTATAAAAAGAAGCATCTCAAGGGATTATTATTATTATTATTATTATTTTAATCCTCACCCCAGGATATTTTTCCATTGATTTTCAGACAGAGTGGGAGGGAGGGAGAAAGAGAGAGAAACATCAATGTGATAGAGACACATTGACCAGTTGACCCCCTGCAAGATCCCAACCAGGGCCAGGGATGGAACCACAACCGAGGCACGTGCCCTTGATGGAAACCAAATCCAAGACTCCCTGGTCCGCAGGCCAACACTCCAACCACTGAGCCAAACTGGCCAGGGCTTTAGAGGGATTATTAAAATGCAGATTCCTATATCTAGAAGAGCCTTACTGAATCTAAATTTCTTGGGATGGGATTCACAAGTCTGCTTTTTTTTATTTTTTATTTATTGTTTTAAATCCTCACCCGAGGACTTTTTTGCATTTATCTTCAGATAGAGGGGGGAGGGGATGAGAGAAACATCAACATGAGAGAGACACACCAAGTGGTTGCCACCCACATGACCCCAACTAGGGCCAGAGACAAACTGCAACTGAGGTACATGCCCTTAGCAGGAACTGAACCCGGGACTCTCCGGTCCATAGGCCGATGCTCTAATTGCTGAGCCAAACTGGTCAGGGCTTTAGAGGGATTATTAAAATGCAGATTCCTGTATCTAGAATAGCCCTATTGAATCTAAATTTCTTGGGATGAGATTCACAATCTGCTTTTTAAAATAAGCAATATTCCACCTGGCCAGTGTGGCTCAATGACTGAGTGTTGACCCACGCACCCAGAGGTTACCAGTTCAATTCCTGATCAGGGCACATGCCCAGGTTGTGGGCCCAATCCCCAGTGGGGGGCATGCAGGAGGTGGTCAATCAATGTTCTCTCTCATCGATGTTTCTATCTCTCTCTCCTTTTCTCTTCCTCTCTCTCTAAAAATCAATAAAGAAAAATAAAGAAAATAAGCAATATTCCAGACTTCTGGTAGACAAAGACCACATTCTAAAAAATACTATCCTAAGCAATCAAAAAAATTAAGAATCTTTCTTTCTTGCCCTTTAAAAGCTATCTTGGTTAAATAACATGGATTAGTTATGAAAGCACAGAAGGTTTATAAATGGCTTAGAAAAATGCCTAATGGAATTCCAATACTGTATCTTTAAAAAGAGCCTGTATGGAAATAATACAGGGCTAATACATATTGCAATGTCCTGATTCCAGTAATATACTTCCATTTTATATTAAAACTGGTGAAAAAATCTTACACTGGTCACTGGTTTTAGGTAGTTAAATATCATCTGAAAGGCATTTACATTGCTTAATGAGACTACTATATAACTTCAATAACATTGTGCAACTATTTTCTCTCTCATTTACTGCTAATAATTGAAACCATACATCAATCCTGTGACAAAAAAAAAGCAAAGGTTAAATTTTTACCACCTTTGTTTACAAAACCATCATCTATCCAGGCAGATAATTTCAAATTTTTCATATCCAGTTTATTATTCTTACCTTTAAAATTTCTGGCTTTGTTTTTTCCATCACGTGAGTTAGGCTAAAAAGGTGAAATAGAGCTTCCCGGACAAAGAATGCCCGTTCACTGTACCGCTTCAATGCTTCTGCAATCTGAATTTCATTGGCTTCTCCAGACACCTTTGAACACAGCCAGAAAATTAGCTTTTAGGATTATTCTCAACCCTCTAACTTTATTCAAACATCATTTGTATAGTTGGCATCCACTATAGCTATGTAAGGCTTAAAACGAATCAGAATGATAACTTTCCAACCCACCCAGAGTAGTCATCTATGGAGGTGTACATATGCTAAAGAGATATTTATATTAGATAGGCTCAGACCCTACTATAAGCCTATAAATAAAATGTCTACATTGCACCTAAAATAAATTTCAAGTTATTTAATACTATTTATAAGGTCTTGCCTTGGGATTAGGCTTTTACCTGCCTTTTAAAGTAAACCTCTCCCCATAACATACAATGTTATAGCCACATTGGCTTTTTTCCTGATCTTTCAATAAACCAAGCTCTTTCCCAGCAAAAGGCCATTATATTAATATCCTATGACTGAAATCTTCCTCTCTTTCTTTGATGAATTTCTACTTAACCTTCCCAATTCAAGTTAAATGATACTTCTTTATTTATTTTTTTCTTTATTTTTTATCCTCACCCAAGGACATTTTTGCATTTATCTTCAGATAGAGCAGGAGGGAGAGAGGGGGGAAGAGAGAGAGAGAAACATCGATGTGAGAGAGACACATCGAGTGGTTGCCACCCACATGACCCCAACCGGGGCAGGGACCAAACTGTAACTGAGGTACATGCCCTTAGCGGGAACCGAACCCAGGACTCTCTGGTCTATGGGCCGACGCTCTAATTGCTGAGCAAAACCGGCCAGGACTAAATGATACTTCTTTAGAGAGGCCTTCTCTGACCCACCAATCTACATCAGGTCCCTCTGAAACATCTCTTTCATAGCCATTATCATAATCCTCCCCCTACTAGGCTGACCCATTCACCACTGTATCCCAAATGCTAGCATTATGTGTGCCTCATAATAAGCACTCAGTAAGTATTCATCACATAAATTTATTAGTTAATTTCCCCAGATTTATCAAGCTCCCATTTAGTACCAAGATGTTCTGTTCAAAATTAAGTACATCTAGAAATTTCCCATTTATAAAGGTTAATACACTTAAACTATGGTTTGTATACCATTGGGTAACCAAATGTATATAAGAAGTGGCTCTTTAAAAAAGTAATCCAACTAATAACTGGAAAAGAAACTATTAGAATAGGCATCATATTCTCCAATGAATTAATGGAACTAGGTAACAACTGTTGATATCACAGAAAGATAACCAGACATTATGTACTTCCTTAATAAAAGAGCACAGCACCTTATGGGTCTTGTGAAAGGTATCAAACGTGAGTGTGATTAAGCCTCCAAATCTAGCTACCGATTTGCAGAAAATTCAAACACAGGGAACTATGCACCAAGAGTATATAATCGAGAAAATCCAGATTGAGGAAAACTCTGCAAGTCAAAAAGGCTGGATTCTTTAATAGACAAATCATAAGGAAAAGAAAGGAATGGAGAGGGAAACTATACACTAAAAGATAAAAGACAAATTTTTGAAAAATCGGCAAAAAATTGGTCTACAGATTAACTAAGTGCCTAGAGATAAACAGTTGGGTTATAAAACTAGAAAGAAAAGCAAGGACATGATGATTATTATTTTTCTTTTAATTTTTTTCTTTATTGATTTTTAAAGAGAGAGGAACAGGGAGGGAGAGAGATAGAAACATCGATGAGAGAGAACATCAATTGGCCGCCTCCTGCCTGCTCCTCACTGGGGATTTGGCCCACAACCTGGGCATATGCCCTGACCGGGAATTGAACTGGTGACTTCTTGGTGCATGGGTCGATGCTCAATCACTGAGCCACACCAGCAGGGCATGATTATTATTATTATTAAAGTCAGGATAAAGGTTATTTTTGTGGGAAAGAAGGTTTTAACCAGGATTGGACACATGGAAGAGCTTCAGGGTAGCTGACAAAGTTCTATTTATTAGCCAGAGTGATGGTCTCAAGTGTGTTCGCCTTATTTTCATTCACTAAGCTATACATTTATGTACGGTCTGTGTAGTATCTGTCTTATTTTATAATAAGGTTTAAAAACATGTAAAAAACTGCCATTCAGAGATATATAATCTCATTAAGTTGGAAGACTGAGCCTTTTTGGCAGTAGCATTATACAGGGTGACAAAATAAATACTTAAAAAGTTTATTACTCAGCAACTAGGTCTTATATGAACATATAGTATTCAGGTGGGAATATGCAACTTTGAGGAAATGAAGGGCTGCATCATGACTGACATTTCAACCATTGATATGATATGCTACAAGGTCTAATACAAACTATACTATGGTACCAATGTGTGCTAAGTGACACAAGGGCACATAATGAGCATTTATTTGTAAGACTATAGAAATAAAATAACAATGTCATTTCTTTCTTTCTTTCTTTCTTTTTTGTTGGTTAATCCTCACCCAAGGATATTTTTTTTCCATTGATTTTGAGAGAGAGTAGAAGGGGATGGGGAAAGAGAGAGAAACACTGATGTAAGAAAGATCATTGATTGGTTGCCTCTGGCACACACCCCAACAGGGATCAGGGATTGAACCTGCAACCCAGGTACTTTTCCTTGACCAGGAATAGAACCCTCCACCCTTTGGTCTACAGGCCAATGTTCTAACCACTTAGCCACACTGGCCAGGACAACAATGTTATTTCTTTACAAAATACTTTTTAAACTGTTTATGTATAATTTATATGCACACACATTGGTCATGACTATATATTCACATACATAAGCAGTAACTGAATAATAAAAAATTTCCAACTGTTCATTCTTTTTAAATCACCCTGAACTTTTTCTTAGATTCTCCTAGGTTTGGAAAGACACTGAAATATTATGTGAAACAAAAAAAGATTATAAGAGAGAAATTACTTAACTATTATTTCAGTTATACTTCATTTACCCATATTTGGTTGATTCTAAAGAGTTTTACAATATCTTATATAAAACATAGCCTCAAGTTACATCTGAATATAAAATTTAAGAACTTTTACTAATGAAATGTTAAAAACTTGAAACCAATTTCATTGCCTGTATGTTTTATTGAACAACACTTCTCTAGCTGGTGATAAATCCTCAAATCAAACAATCTGGTTCCTCAGACTGTAGCATCTTCAGTTCCATCAATTTCATATGCTAGATAAAAAATCAAGTATATATATGTACTAGTTTCTGAAAACATTTTATTTTGTAAATATTTTTATTGATTTTTTTTTTTAGAGAGCGAGGAAGGGAGAGATAGAAACACTGATGTGAGAGAGAAACATTGATTGGGTCCCTCCCACACAGTGAATCGAATGGAGACTTCTTAGACCATGGGATGACGCTCAGTGCATTAAGCCATGCTGGCTGAGCTCTGCAAACAATTTAAAACAGTTCCGTTCAAGATGGCAGTGTAGGTAAACGCAGTACTCAGCTCCTTCCAGAAAACATCAAAATTACAACTAAACTACAAAATAACCGTCATTGAGAACCACCTGAAATCCAGCTGAATGGAAGTCCTACAACTACAAAATTAAAGAAGCCACATTGAGACCAGTAGGAGGAGTGGAGGTGTGGCCTGGCTGGTCACATACTCACGTGTGGCAGATAAAAATCAGGATGGAGCCCTGGTTGGTTTGGCTCAGCGGTTGGAGCATCGGCCTGTGGACCATAGAGTCCCGGTTCGGTTCGCGCTAGGGGCACGTACCAAAAAAAAAAAAATCAGGATGGATACCTCGGCTGTGATGGTCCTCCCTGAGGAATGAGGGGTCCCTGTCCCACACCAGGCCCTCCAGCTCAGGACTCATGGCCAGGAAGAGAAGTCCTGATGACTTCTGGCTGTAAAAACCAGCTGGAACTGAGGCTGTGGGAGGCTGAGGCTTCTGGAGCCCCAGGCAGTTCCTCTTAAAGGGCCCCGCACACTAACTTACTCGGACTCACACCTTCCAGGCTACAGTGTGGGGGAAACAGCTTGAAAGACACCAGAGACATGCGAGGAAGAAGTGAGTTGTTTGGCATTAGGGCGAGAGCTAGAGGGGCAGCTTTCTCCTGGATAGACTTGCTGTCAGAGGCCATTGGTGAGCCCTTCCCTGGGGCAGCAGACAGCCAGCATATCTGGGACACCAGAAACCTGGCTCACACTGTTTGCCCTGCCCTGGTGATTCCCTGAGGCCCTGCCCCACCCAACCTTCCAGCCCACCCAAGCTGTTTCCAGTGGTTTTACCATAGGATTGGTCTGTCTTGGATCCTGCTTCAGATTTTCCTAAAATCTCTCAAATAAGCAGCATCTGGTTTCAGCAAGCCACATACCTCTCCTTAAGTGGCCCAAGGCCTGGCACTAGAAGCAGCCAGCCTTGGTTCACAACTTGGCTTTTCTTGGGCACCTCCAAGCTCAGCACAAGAAGCAGACACCTGCAGATCACATTGTAGCTTATGCTGGGTGGTGCAGGTAGAACACAGGCAGTGACTGACCTCGCCCCAGAGCCAGCACACCCAGTGGACAGCTTCAGACCACATCGAAACACCACCAGCCAACACCTCCACAAGTGACACACTCAATGAGTGGACTCAGTGGGTACCAGAACCCTGCTGAAGTAAGTCTTGCTCTGTGTGGTGGGCCCCTGCACAGCTGATCCTCCAAGGTAGTCAAAGGTCAGTGGTCAGTGGGCACAGCCAGTCCTTGCAGCTCATCAGCCTGAGTAAATCCCTCCCACTGATGGGCCAATAGCAGTCAAGAGCCAACTACAACAGAAGGATGGGTGTACAGTCCACACAAGGGGTATACCTCGAGGGCCAAGTTGGAGTGATCAGGGAGGCTGTGCCACTGGACCCTACAGGACACTACTGCAATAGGCCACCCTACCAAGCCTAGGAGACATAGCAACTCTACCTAATATATAGAAACAAACACAGGGAAGCAGTCAACATGAGGAGACAAAGAAATATGTCTCAAATGAAAGCAAGAAAAAAACTCCAGGAAAAGAACTAAACAAAATGAAGATAAGCAATCTAACA